AAAAAAAAAAAAAAAAAAGAAGGGGTGGGTGGTGCGTGCTGCTTATGACAATCAAATATTTTAACATAACATCATGGCTCTACTATTGTACTGAAATTGTATTGCAACTGTACGGTCTCCCCCCATTTTGTAAAGCAAACTGTTGGCGCTACATAAATCCTGTATAATAATTTATAATAATAAAATAAGAGTGCATACACTGGAGCCAACCACTGTAACTACTGTCACCAAGTCAGTCACAAATTATATACTCCACCGACTGCATTTTGTTTACTTTTAAAGGGGAGGAAAGTCAAGGTACCCATAACTGATGGGCAGTAATTAAAAATTGTCCCAACTGCAAAGCAGTTCCAGCCAACAGTGTGCTACCAATACTATCTAGCACACAACACAGCAGTGCTAAAATAAAGTCCATTCAATGACTTGCCTACAGATACTTCATTGTTATGTTATGAGATGAAGAAAGAGGGAAGTGTTCTGTAGTCCAAGAGAAGAGAACTCAAAGAGGACTCCAGGGATTTTAGTTTGAGAGAGGCACAGTGTTCTCAGCTCAAACAGGAAGTTATATTTGAATATATCTTCCAGATCAACAGGTATTTTTGTTATACTTTTTTTTTAATTTTTAAGAGAGATAAACCATAGTGACATGTGCACGTATTGTAGAGATGTGCTGAATTTTTTTGAAGACTGGATCATTTCTCTGCAAACAGCCATCATCTGACATCCATAACCAGCCCAACTCTGAAACTTAAGCACCTTAAATAAATATAAAGCAATATGGCAAGCACAACGGTGAGACATTCTAAACACACATGAAGAATTTCATCCTCCCTATAAGCGCACTGCAGTCCTCGAAACACATACAGCTCAAAAGAAAGACACACTAATCTCAAACACTACTGTATTTCAGAAAAAAAAATCTTTAAAAGCGACACTAAAAACTTTAATTGAAGTTAAATCTTTAAAATGCATTAAATTACCTTAACTATGAACAAAAATGTAGCTTATTTGTGTATCACTCGGCTATAGATCCTCAAATAATTTCTGAATTCATGCCGACACTGTCCTTCCATCTGGAGGGTGACTACTTTTGTTCTCCATGGTACTTGTGTGTTGTAAAGTAGCCACCGCCCCAAGCTCGCTCCCGTGATGGATTGTAATTTCAATACAAATTGGTAAACTAAAATGTGAGATTGTAGTCCATCACGGGAGTGAGCTTGGAGCAATGGCTACGTTACAACACACACAGGGACCATGGGTAACAAATGTAGCCACCCTCCAGAAGGAAGGGCAGTGTCAGAACGAATTCAGAGCGGATTTGAGCATTTACAGCTGAGTGAGATACAAATTAGCTAAATTTTTGTTAATAATTAAAAGGTACTTAAATGCATTTTTAAGATTTAACTCCTGAGTTAAGTGTCACTTAAAAGTAATACTGTATAGCAGAGGTCTCAAACTCAATTCACTCAGGGGCCACTGGACACATTTTTCTCTCCTATGGGGGCTGCCTGTCAAATTTCATACTTAAAATATAATGTAACTATATACAATACCAGTGTTAATGTCTGCGTGTGTTTCTAATGTCGGTCTGTATTTGTGATGGGTTCTTTGTATGTAATGTCAGTAAAAAATGTTATGATGGTTTGTGTATTGTCAACATTTTTGTGAGTGATGTCGGTAGACATGTGCACTGCCAAAAAATTCGTTTCGTTTTAAATTCGGATTTGTGTTATTTCGTTTTTTGGGATTCGTGTGTGAAAGTCAATTCGGATTCGGAATTCGGATTCGGACGGAATTCGGTAGTTCGAACGTTCGTTTCGTTTTCGGTTCTTATTCGTTTCTTATTTGTTTCTTATTCGTTCGTTCGTTTGCAGCAAAGTGACATTTGAGGGGGGAAAAATATTTTTCTCCTTCTCTAATGTCACTTTGCTCCAACGAACGAAACGAATACGAACCGGAAACGAACGTTCGAACTACCGCTACCGAATTTCGGAAATGGAAATTCGGATTTGTTTGCATTCGTTATGTCTGTAATTCG